GGAGGAGAGAGGACCTGTGGGCTGGTGTGGGTGTTAGACTTAGGTAGGTGCAGACTTTTTTTATTGCTATTATGAGATTTGTTGAGATATAATCCATACACCATAAAATTCACTCTTTCCAAGTGCACAGTTTGTGTCTTTGTATTCTCATAGTGTTATGCAATCATCACCACTACCTATTTTTAGATTATAAAAGAAACCACGTACCCATTAGCAATTATACTCCATTCCCCTCCCTTTCCCCTGACACTCCACCCTACCCTAGATAATCGTTATTCTACTTCCTGCTTCTATAGATTTACCACGTTTGAACATTACATATAAATGAAGTCATGTAATAGATGGCTTTTATGCTCATTTTTTCACTTAATACAGTGTTTTTGAGATACACCCATCTTGTAGTATCCATCAATCATTCATTTTTATTGCCAAATAATATTCCATTGTACAAATTTACCACCTTTTATTGATCTATTCATCAGTTGATGCTATTTGGATTGTTTCCACTTTTTTGGCAGTTATGAATAAAGCTGCCATGAACACCCATGGGCAACTTTTTGTGTGGGTATATGTTATTCCTTATCTTGGGTGTATACCCAGGAGTAGAATTGCAGAATCATATGGTAATTCCATGATTAACCATTTGAGGCACTGTTAAACTGTTTTTCAAAGTGACTGTACATTTTCATCTCATCAACGGTGTGTGAGGCTTCCAATTTCTCCACGTCATTGTCAACATTTCTTATCTATCTTTTGATTATAGCCATTCCTGTGGGTGTGAAGTGACATGTTATTGTGGTTTGGATTTACATTTCCCTGTTGACTAATGACATGGAACATCTTTGCATGTGCTTGTTGACCATTTACATATCTTTGGGGAAATGTCTATCCAGATATTTTGTCTATTTTTCAATTGGGTTGTTTATCTTTTTATTACTGATTTATAAGAGTTTTTTCATATATTCTGGAAATAAGTAAAAGTCGCATTTCAGGTATATGATTTGAAAATTATTTCCTGTGTTTTTGTGTTTTTTTTTTCACATTTTTGATAGTAACCTTTGAAGCACAAAAGTTTATAGGTTTGCCGTAGTCCAGTTTATTTGTTTTTATTTGTTTAATTTTTAAGAAGATTTTATTTATGTATTTGACACACAGAGAGAGCACAAACAGAGGGAGTGGCAGGCAGAGGGAGAGGGAGGAGCAGGGTTCCCTGACAAGCAGGGTCCATCCCAGGACCCTGGGATCATGACCTGAACTGAAGGCAGATGCTTAACCATCTGAGCCACCCAGGCACCCCCATTTGTTTTTTATTTTGTTGCTTGAGCTTTTGGTGTTATATTTGAAAAAGCCATTGCCAAGAGCATGAGGATTTACTCTTATGTTTTTGTCTAAGAATTTCATACTTCAAGCACTTTTATTCAGGTCTATGATTCATTTTGAGTTAGTTTTTGTGCGTATTGTGAGGTAGGGGGTTAACATCATTCTTTTACATGTGGATATCCAGTTGTTCCAGCGCCATTTGTTGAAAAGACTCTCCTTTCCCCCATTGAATGGTCTTGGCACAATAAAAAAAAGTTAGCTGACTATACAAGGGGTTTATATCTGGACTCTTACTTCTATTCCATTGATCTATGTGTGTGCATTTATACCAGTACCATATATCTTAGTTACTGTAGTTTTATAACAAGTTTGGGAATTGGGAACCGAAAGTCCTCTTACTTTGTTTGTCCTTTTCTGTGTTGGGTTTGTTCTGAGTATTTGCAATCTCTTGTAATTCCATATGAATTCAAGTTTTGGCTTTCCTATTTCTGCAAATAAGCCAGCTGGCATTTGATAGGAATTGCGTTGAATCTGCAGATCAGTTTTTTAGGGGGTGGTGCCATCTTAACAAAGTTGTCTTCCCAGTTTATGATCTGAGATGTCTTTCTACTTGTTTAGGAGTCTTCTTTAATTTCTTTAATAATGTTTTGTAGTTTTAGTTACATTTTTTACAACTTTCATGAAATTTATGCATAGGTATTCAATTCTTTTTTTTATGCTATTGTAAAAGTAATAGTTTTCTTAATTTTATTTTCAGGTGAACATTATTATCAATGAACATTGATATAGAAATAGGATTGGTCTTTCTATATTGATCTGAAGTCTTGCAACCTTGCTGAACTTATTAGGTTTTTTTAGTGGATTCTTTAATATTTTCTATATATAAGATCATGTCATCTGCAAATAAGATAGTTACTTCTTCCTTTCCAGTCTGGGTGACTTCCCCTTCTCTTGTCTAGTTGTCCTGGGCTAGAATCTCCAGTACAATGTTGAATAGAACTGGTGAGAATGGACATCCCTATCTGGGGCTGGATCTCAAGAGGAACGCATTCAGTTGTTCATCAGTAAGTATGAGATTAGCTATGGAATTTTTCATGGATGACCTTTATCAGGTTGAAGAAGTTCTTTCCTCTTCCCAGTTTGTTGAGTGTTTTTATTATAATAGGTGTTAGGTTTTGTCAAATGCTTTTCATAATTTTTTATTCAGTTAATATTATTATTATATTTCCTAGGCTAAATCCCAATTGGTTATGATACACAATCCTTTTTATATGTTTCTGGCTACCATTTACTAATGTTTTATTGAGTATTTTTGTGTGTACTGTACTGTACTGATAAGAGATATTGGCCAGTAGTTTTATTTTCCTGTGATGTCTTTATCTTACTTTAATATCAATATAAATCTGTTCTCAAAGAATGAGCTAGAAATTTTTCCCTCCTCTTTTACTTACTGGAAAAGTTTGCCATGAAATTGGTTTTTAATTTATTTTTCAATATTTGGTAGAATTTACTATGAAGCTGTATAGGTCTGGGCTTTTCTTTATGGAAATACTTTTAGTTACTAATGTAATGTCTTTCTTTGTCATGTCTTTGTCATGGAGATTTTAAACTTTCTGTTTTCTTGAGTTAGTTTCCAGAATTTGTAACTTTCTACTAATTTGTCCCTTTCCTCTATACTATCTAACTTGTTGGCATATGGTTGTTCATAGTCCTCTTTACTTCTTACAGTTTATGATGATGACCCCTCTTTCATTCCCTACACTCCTATGTCTGCTTTGTCTTGGTTAGTGTAGTTAAAGCTTGCTAATGTTGACCTCTTCAAAGAACCAATTTTGAGTTCCGGTGATTTCCTCTATTGTTTTGTTCTTTCTTATTTCACGTATCCCTGCTGTAAATTTCCCTCTGAGCAGTACTTTCGCTGCAGCACATGAATTTTGGTATGCTGTGTTTTTGTTTTCACTCATTTTGAGGTATTTTCTACTTTCCTTATGATTTCTTCTTTGATGTATTTGTTATATAGGAATATATCATTCAATATCCACATATTATTGTAAATTTCCCAAAGTTCCTTCTGTTATTGATTCTAATTTAATTCCATTGTGGTTTTGAAAGCATATTTGGTTTGATTTCCATCCTTTAAAATTTATTAAGAATTGTTCTATGATCTAGTATATGATTTATCTTGGAGAATGTTCTATGTGCACTTGAGAAGGATGCCTGTTCTGTGTTCTGTTGTAGGGTGTTCTGTAGATGTCTGTTAGATCTAGTGTTGTTTGTGAGTTTTCTGTCTGGTTTTTCTGTTCATTTCTGGAAATGTGGTGTTGGTATCTGACTTTTATTATTGAATTATTTATTCCTCCATTTGATTCTGTCAATTTTGCTTCATATATTTTTGGGTGCTATTGTTAGGTGTATGTCATATGGTCATAATTCTGGTATCCTCCTGATGGATTGATCCTTTACAATTATGGAACTCCCTCTTCATCTCTAGTAACATTTTATTAGTTTAAAATCGGTTTTGCCAGATATAGAAACTCCAGTTTTCTTTTGTGTACTGCTTACATGGTATATATTTTTTTGACCTATTTACTTTCGACATATCTGTGTTTAGTGAATAGTTTTTGTTTAATGATTTCAATGTTTTTAAGTTTATTTTTTTAATAAATCATACACTATAAGTCATTCTTTTTCTTTATGTACAGTTCTAGGAATTTTAACATATGTGTAGTTACGTGTAACCATGCCTATGATAGGATAGAAAAAAATTACATTATCTCCAGAACTCCCCTCTTGCAAACCTAATTCCTAGCATAGAATGATATTCTCCCTTGTGATGAGTTCTCATTATACCATCATAGGTTAGGGATTCATATTACATTATGATCATTATCACTATTATTTGACCATGATTTTGTTGATTGTCTTTTTTCTTCAACTCTTCTGAGGCTTTGTGTTGAGCTATATAACTACCTTAGCACACAGAGTTAAGGACAGGTGGGGATTATTTTCTGGGCTACAACATTGATTGGAGTCATTCAAACGTGGAAGATTCTTAGAAGAATTGACATGACATCAAGATGAAGCTGAGACTTGAGTCTTATTTGAGGGCTGGTATTTTCCACCAACATTGGGAACACTACTACAACATTGTCGTATTACCTAATCTGAATAGTAGCCTAGAAATTCCGGGTCTTTGGTGATAGCTGAGCAATTATAAATGCATCCCTAAGTATGCCTGGCATCCTGTCTCATCCTCCAGCTCCCAGTTGACTCTGGAAAGCAAATAGAGTGTAACAGTAAGAGTCCTGTAATGTTCCTGTGTAGGGCTGACCTTTGTATCATTGTTAATCCTTGTCCTCTCTTTTCAGAGACAAAGATTAAATTAAAACTGCATGAAACCCTTTTCTGAGTCACAGGGATAGGCTGCTTTCCCTCTTTGAAAACCCAAAGGATTTAACAGGATTTTCCCCTTCTCAAACACCACCCCCCTCACCCTGACCTTAACAGCTTCCCACCGTTAGGGAAAGGCAGGAAGTTTTCCCTGTGGTTTTTCTTTGTGACGACATGATGGGACAGGTTGATCAATGGGGGAAAACCCATGTCAGAACACGCCTTCTGTGTACATTCCCAATATTTGCTATAAGAAGGGCCATCCCAGACCCAGGCTACTATCAGAACTTAGCATTACTCCCAGAGCACTCGGTACTCAGCACTGAGAAGATCTATTCTTTGAGCTGAAAATGATGTGCAGTAGCAAGAATTTGCTCCTGGCTGCTTTGATGTCAGTGCTGCTACTCCACCTCTGCAGCAAGTCAGAAGGTAAGTATCAGTCTTTCTGCTGACACAGGAGGAAGAACTGTTTTCATTCTCCTTGAAACCTTAAGCTCCCCTGGGAGTCCCCAAGGAATGGGAGCCTGTAAGAAAGTCTTGAGAAGTGATAGGAGTTGTCACTCATTGGTGAGTGAGCGGGGAACGGTTACTGCTACTGATCAGGCTTTTTTTTTTTTTTTTCCTCTGCTCTCAATCCCAGCAGATATTTGGGGTGTCTGGGTTTTTAGAGACCCCCAAGCTCCACAACAGGGCTAAGGTGTTATTTTTGGGAGTGATATAAATTGTGTTATATTACCAGTGAATGGGGTCATTCTGAAATGTAGGAAACACTCCCACTCTTCCGACTTTTTCACCTCCCACCTAAATAGTTTAAGTTCAAAACTCAACCTTTAGAGGCAGATTATGGCATCTGACTTCTCCATCCTTACATAGCTTTGGGCCCTTTCTTGTCAACTTAGAGATAATTTATCCCTTACCTTACAGCAGGTTATAATTTAACCTGGGGGAGTGTCTGAGTATTGCTTTATGACTGTGAGAGTACATCACTTTTAGCAACAGGTGCATTCCTGAAAATGCACGTGTTGAACTTTTATGACCAAAATATTTCCATAATATCACAATTTCAAAGTGCTTTTGAAGCTCCTATAAATTGCATTTTCCTTTGTAACTTCTTATCATCCCCCTTCTCTCAATGCTCGGAGCTAAGTAATAGATTAAAAGCTCCATATTTATTCATTTTCTGAATGTGGAAGGTTCTCTGTAAGAGTTTCTTCAAGTGGGAGATAGTCGTATTCTTGAGTGATTATAATGAACTTAAATGAAACACTATCAGTTTGTGTTTCTCACTAGAGATATTCCTTTTGTTAGAAGTCATGGGCTTCTAAACTGTATTATTAAACCAAAATCACCCAGCAAATAAGCTCCTTCCCTCTTTTTTTTTTTTTTTAAGAGAGCTGGAAACTACATGAAATTATATCTCAAAGACATTGCAACTGTTTCTCTAAATAGTTTCTTTACCATATACAACTACAACTTTGAGTAGTTCCATAATACCTACTACAGAATAAACTCAATCACGTTTACTCAATACCTTTAATTTCTTTTCAGCAGCAAGCAACTTTGATTGCTGTCTTCGATATACAGAACATATCCTTCATCCCAAATATATTGTGGGCTTCACACAGCAATTGGCCAATGAAGCTTGTGACATCAATGCTGTCATGTAAGTTATTCAATTGTGTCAGGAGTACGTGGGAATTTCAAATTAAAAAAAATTTTTTTTTGCCTTTCTGGAATTTCAGAAATAACTGATGTGGCAATGCTATGTTTGTTTTGATAGTACATATGTATTCCAAAGTTTAAATAGGACTAGAATAAGGCAGAAGTTTGGTATTTCTTTTTTTTTTTTAAAGAACAGAGTTGAGGGCCAAATCACTTTTTAAGATACACTTATAAACTACTTACATGCCATCTCAGGAAAACATGGGAGACATAAATTTTAAAATGAGCATCTTCTACCAGAGAATGGTTGGGGCTGTAAGTAAGAACTCAAGAGTTATTATGCTTTCACATGTAATAATCTTGATCCATATAGGATATTATACTTCAGAGTGGTATAGGTTATTGGTTGGATATACACATATTTTGTGTTACCACCAGCAAGAAAATTAAATAACAATTCTGAGACTTATTTTCCAGTTATCTCACAGCTAATTGTTAAAATACAGTGAAAGTAGGAGAGAATCACTTTTATTTCCTGCATCAAGCTTTATTAGAAACATTTTTTTTTTTGTATTTTGTTTCACCTCTGAAACAAATAAAATGCTTGATGGGTAGAGCAGTCCATTGGAATACAAAATTTCCATTGCATGTTCTGTGAAATAGCGATTCAAAACTCTTTTAGCACAAATCAAATTTTCCGTGTGTTTTTTTTTAAGCTTTTACACAAAGAGAAAATTGGCTGTGTGTGCAGATCCAAAGAAGAACTGGGTGAAAAAGGCTGTGCAAATCCTCAGGTATGGGATATTTACCATCAGACCCTCTTCAAATGTCTGGGGCAAAGGTCATGTGCAGAGTGGTGGCCCATAGGCTTGCTGGGACCTTTTAACCTAAACACTATAGCATTTTATTTATTTAATTTATTTTTAATTTATTTATTTATTTTAGAGAGAAAAGAGTGGGGGGAGGAGAGAGAATCTTGAGCAGACTCTGTGCTGAGCACGGAGCCCGATGCGGGGCTTGATCTTACCACCCTGGAATCACGACCTGAGCAGAACTCCAGAGTTGGTTGCTTAACCAACCGAGCCACCCCAGGTGCCCCAGCAGTGTAGAATTTTAAAGGGGAAATTTGAGTCGGACCATGAAAACAAAAATTCATTTTTTCCACTTACACATCATTTTTATCTTTTTTTAAATTCAGTGATTTTTCCATGATGTATAAGAGTCTCCTATGCATTAGATAGTTGCTAGCAGCTTGACTTTTTTTTTGCAAAGATGACTCCTATGTATATAATTCACAAACTACATAACATTTTGTTAAAAACTGAAAAATAAAGTGTCAAAAAGAGATCAATGGTTGTGATTTACAGTGGTGTTACATTTTATTTTATCAATATGAACAGAAGTCACGTAACACAAAGGTGCCATACACACTGAATTTAAATATGCAACCCAAGCGTTGAGTCCTGTATCTGTCATTAGCTAGCTGAGTTATGTTGGGCAAGGTCCTTCCTCTCTGAACCTTGATTTGTCCCTCTGGGCTCTTGAGCTGCTGACGTCCTGAGATGAGATTAGGAAACAAGAGGCAATCTTTAGGTACAAAATCTATTCCTCCCAGCCAGTCGCCCTGTCATTGCTTAGTTTTTTCTTCTTTTTCTCTTTACAGTCACAGAGTCAAGAAGATGTAAAACCGATGCTCTCTGGAGTGGAATTGGACAGAGCCTATGAACAAAAAGAATCTAGCAGGAGTTGGTTGTTGAGAGTGTAGCACGTACCTGATTTGTGCTTCATTGGACTTGTCCAATTAATGAAGTTGATACATATTGCATCATAGTTTACTTTGTTAAGCATCACATTAGAATCAAACTCTATTTTATTTTATTTATATATATATCTATATATATCTATATGTGTCTTTTTGTGTGTGTTTTTACTATTTAATACTAATTTTCTATAAGCTATTTGGTTTAGTACGAGGTATAATGTTATGTTCAGAGAAATGAGGTTATATGGACTTTCTTGTAAGCAGCAAGCTCTTTGTAAAAAACTATTTAACATTTTTCTTCTACATTGTTTTGTTTCCAAAACCGTTGTAATTATCCTGTAAGAAAGAAAAATTATGATAAAAATAAATACTGAAAATTAAAGAATGAACTAAAATTGCTTGTTAATAGAGTTATATAGCACTTCTAAGATATAAATTAAAAATTTTAAAAATATTTAAAGGGATAGTAAATCTAAAAATTGGAGCAGAGGGTCATATTTCCCCATTCACTTCTGCCTGGATGTTCCCCTTTCCCTGTTCCTCATGGTCCTGGTTTTTATTCCATATGAATTATAATGGAAAGGGTCTTTTTTTTTAGATTCAAAGTCCTCCAAACCAAAAATTAGAAGATCCATAGCTCCATTAGAAATCCATAGTTCCATGCTTATCAATATAAAAGTTTTCAAAATAAAGAGTACCTATATACTTTGTGACTTCAGGGACATAATAACCACAGAGAAAATGTCTTCAGAAATTCTTTTGTCCATCCATCATGGTCACCAGAGAGGGACCTAGGAATGGGCAACTCAGCACAGAAACATTTTTCTATTTCATAAGTCCTCTGGCGTCATCCTTAAGCAGTTTCCAAAAAGAAAATGACAAAGCAGAGGGTTCTAGGAACTTTTTGCCTCACTAAGTGGAGGAGAGACTTGAGGTATGTGAAACTTAGCAAGAACCCAGACAAAAGATGAAAGGGTCCTCAACCAAGAGATTCACTATCACAGTGTTCAAATAGCAAAGTCTGTGACTTGAAACAGCACTCAGGACTGTCTGTCTTAGACTCCAAAGACCATGAACGATCATTGGAGGCAGGCACACTGATGATATGATGCCAAATCCAGACACACAAACCCATAAAGCAGGGCAATGGTGGGTCGTTGGTACAGAGCCAAGAGCTGTAAATGGCCCATTTAGCCTGGAAGTTGTCTCTCTGCCCAGGAGTAAGAACATTGAGTCATCAGGGAAAATATGCTCAATATCCTGTTTGTTTATTCATCAAACATGGGTTTAGTACCTATTATGTGCCAGGTACTGAGCCAAGTGAAGCTTGCAATACCAAGAGATAAGGTCAGGACTTGGTCTTTGCTCCCAGATAATTAGGGCTGAGCAGTGAGGTTAGAGGGAGGGGACAAGAAAATCAGCTCTTACCACACATGGTGTAAGCACTTGGATAATGAGAGTCACAGAGTTCTGTAGGTCATCAGCAGTGAGGGCTTCCAGAAGAGAAGAATTTTTGGTTGAATCATATTAAATAGCCAGTATTCGATGTTCTTGAACTATAGGGGTGGCAATTATGTATGGTTCCATATTTGAGCTGAGGTTTAAGTGGCCAGTAGGAGCCACCCAGTTGGAAAAGCAGGAAATGTTTGGAAATATCTAGGGACATATTTTAGTTCTCATAATGTCTGAAGGTGGGATACTATGGGTATTTAGTGGGTGGGAGGCAGGGATGCCAATCTATTGGAATGCACAGGATAGCCCTGCACAATGAAGAATTGCCCCATCCAAAATGTCAACCACGCCACCAATTTGGCAAACTGGATGAAGTGGAAAGTATGTAAGGAGTGGGGGCAGGGTGGAGTAGTTACAAGTGAAGTGAAACTGTTAACTCAACCAAGTCTAGTGGTTTGAACTTGAACATGGGAACACCAGGGAACTTGTGAAAAAGTCCAAGCAGGGAGAAAGGGATGTGGGGAAGAAGATAGAAGTAGATATAGCAGGGAGAGCAGCAGCAAGTAAGGTGAGAAATGGTGGGAATTCAATGAAAACCAGAGTAGAAAGATATATAAATAAATCTTTTTTTTTTCAATTATACTATATTTTATTTTATTTTTTCAGTGTTCTAAGATTCATTGTTTATGCACCACACCCAGTCCCCCATGCAATACGTGCCCTCCTTAATACCCACCACCAGGCTCACCCAACTGCCCACCACCCTCCCTTCCAAAACCCTCAGTTCGTTTTTCAGAGTCCACAGTCTCTCGTGGTTGATCTCCCCCTCTGATTTCTTTTTAAAAAATCCAAAAAGCAAAAGCAGAGAATCATACAAAGACCACCCCCTACCTCGCACCCATCACACAGCTTCAGCCAACCAATGCCATCTTGTTACACCTATAACACCCACCTCATTTCTTCCCATTTATATACCCCCTGAGTGACTTTGAAGCAATTCCCACATACCAAAATACTCAGTCTATAAATATTTAATTAAAATGCAAGAACACTTTCATTATCACAGATTTAAATTGATTTAAATTGATTCCCTAATATCACCAAATAACCACTGTTAAAATATCCCTGTTTGAAAAAAAAAATCCAGTTTATTTCCCCTCAAGAGTTTTTTTTTTAAATTTATTTATATATATATTTGCAGTTGAATTCATTTGAATGAAAATCCAGATAAGGTCTAGACGTTGCATTTGTTTGCTTTGCTTCTTTTTACTTCTAATGTATGCTTCTTAACCCCTCACCTTTGTGATTTATGTTTTGGAGAAACAAGGACATGCGTTCTGTAGTTTCTCATCTTCTGGGTCTTGCTGAATTTACATTTGTATGCTGAGATTTTGCCTGTTCCCTAACTCTGAGTTATAAATAGAGGCTGCATTGAAGCTCCATTTGAGGAAGGGACATTTTACAAGTGACATTGTGCCACCTTGCCATAGAGTTGCCTAAACTGTTATCAGCAACAGGTATAGAGGGGGAGACTGTGGACTTGGGCCCAAGCCTTCAAAGAATGTGAAGAATTGATTAAGACCTTCACCTGACAGCTGGGGGGTGGTGTGTATGGGCTAATGACATGCACGTATTTCAAAGAGGGTGATGGGGAAGGGGGACAGTAGGAATAGAGAAGCTCCATTGTAGAAGCACGGGAAGGCTGTTTTCCATCTGCTTCTGACCTTGTGCTTGTTTTGAGAAGACCCTAGGGGCAGTGATGTTCTTGCCATAGACTCAGGTTTCACGTGAGGGAAGGAGCTAGGGGAGGGAAAGATGGAAGGACAGAAAATAGTTGCCAGAAGAGGCCAGAGGGTGACATCATGGAGATGAGCTGGAGGCACCCAAGAGTACTGGAGTGGGAGCACGAGACGTGTGAGAAAGGACAGATGAATGCAAGGGTTTGGGCTGGGGTCCCAGTCATGTCATCAATAGTATCTAAGCCTCTGTGCTAGTATCACCTGCTAAGATCGCTGATGAATTATCTCATTTAAACACAAGGTATGTCCTATTTTGGTGTCCATTTTGCAGATAGAGAAACTGAGGGTCAAAAGAATTAAGGAATTTACCCAGTGTCATACAGTCTTGTGAAATACTGTGGAATCAGTTGGTCTCAAATTCTGCCCAGACATTAAGGCATAAAGGTGTTTCTGTGTCAGTGAAGAGACATCTGTGGTGTTTGATGCTTCTTCTTCTTCTTCTTCTTCTTCTTCTTCTTTTTTTTTTTTAAGAGTTATTTATTTATTTTGGAGGGCAGAGGGCAAAGGAGAGAGAGACTCTCAAGCAGTGATATGGGACTCGATTTTCCAACCCTGAGATCAAGACCTGAGTCAAAATCAGGAGTCCAATGCTCAATTGCCTGAGCCACTCAGGCACCCGTGCCCTGCCCGCCCACCCCCCCACCCCCCCAGAATGTGTTTGACAGTTTTTAGCGCTGTGATTTTTCTTTCTTATTAGATGGTTCTTTGTCATCATTCCAGCGACTTCCTGGCTTCCACATGGTGGGTGTGATCTCTGGTTCAGAAACTGTGTTTCACTACTTGAAGGAATTCCATTTCCTAGGTCTCCACCCTCAAGGTTCCCTGGGCAGAGTTTGCCCTCACCACCTGCATCTTCCTGCCACTACCACACCACTCAGCTGGGCTCTGGACCTTGTCTGGGCCTGCCTCGGCCTGCCTCTCTCCCTCCTTCAGTCTACAAATCAGCTTGACAAAGTTCAGATGTGAAACCTGCCTGCCAGTGAGTCAGCCCAGGTGGCAATGTCAGCGCAGTGAAGAAGTGTTTTCCGCTTTACAACAAAGCGGGGTAAAAATATTGCCTCCTAAAAGCCAAACTAGAAACCTCCAACAACATGGAGTGACCAGGATTGGCTGGGCTGCCCCCTCTCTGAGCGTGACTGCCTCTCTTCTTGCTCCCTAATCCCATTTTCTGACACCTGCTTTACTTTAATCTCATGCACATCTCGAATTTCTTGGTTCCTACCTTTTCTTTCAATCCGTCAGTAGGTTTCAATTCTTGGCCCGACCAACCAAAACCTCATGATGGGTCAGCCCCCTTTCTGGCCACCTGATCTAGGTTGGTCTTCCTACTTATTTCATAGCAGCGTATAAGTTGTCGGGGCTTCTGTTTTCACATTTCTGAAGTGGGTAATCTGGCGCCTGCCCTATAGGGTTCTTATAAGGATTAAATGAATTTATACTTGGAACCATTCTCAGCACCTCGTAGACACCTACATATTATCATTCCTGCCACTGGCACTACCTGTAAATATTTATTCATTTATGTACCAGTTAGCTGGTTCCTTGAGCATCTTTTGCTATTGTAATAAATGCTCATTGCTTCACAGATTTCCTTCTACTTGCTCACTTCTGCATCTCCAACACCTAAAACAGTGACTGCCTAAAGGGGATTCTCAATAAATAGTTAAGTGAAATTATAATACTACTCAGACATGTGTTTACGGGATATGCGCATATAGACAAGGAAAATCTGCAAGAAGAGAAATATATTTATTGTATGATCTTGTGTGATAAAAAAATATATATATATATATATGCATATTCATAGAAGAAAATGAAAAGAGAAACACCAATCTGATTATTTTTCTTAATTCTAGGCTTTGAAATAAGGGGTAA